TGTGTGTGTGTGGTAGATAAAGAAAAACTTCAGTAATAGTTTTAATTTTTTGTTTAAGATCATGCGTTATATCATGAAACTCAGGTTGATAAATTACATATTGTAGCTTAGTTGAAACTCGGATTGTTATATTTCATGATAACTTCTATATTTATTTATTTCTGTTTTTACTTAATTGTTTTTTACTTAATTAATTAACCTTGATGTAGAAAATATTAATTATTTAAAAAACATGTACTCATTATTATTTTTTAAAATTATTTCTATATATTAAATATGATTCACTATTTTACGTGAAAGTAATTTTATGGACTTTTTCTTCAACAAATAGTTTTATTTATAGATTCTTTTAAGTTTTTATTTTATTATTGTTTTAATGTGTGCAATATCATTAAATGTTTATTATATATGTTAGTGTATAAAATATAATGATTTATTAGGTTATTACACTTAACAGTATAATTATTAACGATAAAAGGATATAAAACTACAATCAACTAAGATTAACGTACTAGTAATGCATGGATATACAAATGATAATATATACATGTACAACTAAAAGTTTTTATCAATTACTAAATTATATATAGTGTATACATGTCTGTACAAAATTTTGGTACTAAAGTATGAAAGAAATCCCAGTTGCCGGATAAACAAAACTACTAACAACTAGTCACACTATGATAACTCAAAAGATTTGTACCGTCACCATCCAACATAACCTCGAAACAAACTCCAACAGTGATCTATCCCTACTTTGTTTTCATACAAAGTATGATTACTCTGCCACGTAAAAACATAAAAAGGGTAAGGTAATATTCAAATAATCAACATAATTATTATAAAAGTAAAAACAACTATATTATCAACATAAACAACTTAATTCAACACACTATCAACTTACAACTTATTAATGTAATACAACATTGTTTCCAACTTGAACAACACACAATAATACCTCAAATATAACTCATCACAATTCAACATAGCATATGAACCACACATTTCAATCGACACAAGTAAGCAATCTAAGTGGATTGACCCTACAAAAATAATTACTCAATATTTTTAATCCAGTTAAATCAACAACTAGTTTGGATAAAATCTACAACACAACATGATTTCTTAGATATTGTCACATAAATTAGGAAGTCTAGTATTTTTGTTACGGTATAAAAGCTCGGATGTGAAACTACCATTACATTAGCTAGCATAACTAAGTCGCCTATGAGATTAGCATGTCGTCTATCATTCAAATACTATGTCATTTCAATACTTGATTAGTTATTTTAACCCTCAACATTGTACCTTGCTCTAATTTGGTAATTTAATACACGTAAGTTTCAACCCTACCCACATAAGGATCAACATTGATCGCTTGTAGTCAGTATGTCTCATCCTGTCCCATATACCACATCAACTAAGATCCTAGAAAAGACTCAACTGTCCACTTTAAAGGTCAACTTCCCAATAACGATTTTCAACAAACTCCTAGAGAACCACAACACTATCCTTATAATGAGATATACAACTTTATAAATAACATCTATTCTAATCCTAAATTAATGAACACAACTTTCAACACCATCTTAAGCATTCTCAACATAACTCATCAATCATCAATATACAACTCAATATACAAAACATATAACACAACTCAACCATCATACAACATGTAGTAGATCCAACTATATTATACATGGTCACCAATTTTCATCAAAACAAGGTAAATTAAGGCAACCCGCGCCTGACCCTATCCACCATACGCTTGGCACCATCTAGGTATTAGTTACTAGTTGCATTATAAACTCTAATTTTGATGTGTTGGTATTTAGTGTTTTACTACGTAACAGTTGTTTAGTAATTAGTGTGGTGGTCTATTGGATCGTTACAAATTATACTTTGTATTTATGGATAATAATTTGTATTGTAATATAAATTATTTTATCTATTCATAATTTATTTTAAAATATTAAAATATAATTAATAAATAATTATGATCAAGAAAATATTAAATTAGATTAAAATTAAAAGAATCTCTAAAATTTCTCTCATTATTTTTTTTTGAAAATAATAATGCGCAAAACAATTATCTGTGTTTTATATATAGAGATTTGTTTCAATTTGTTTTATTTGTAATTATTTATAAATAATTTTAATATTTAAAAAAAATTATAGTAAAAACAATATCATGTCATTATATAAAATATGGATCACAAACCTAACATATAATTTATTTCTTTAAAAATATTGATTTATATACATTTAAAATATAATTTATATTATCAAATATAGCATTTATATTATATATAGTTTATTATTATAAATTTTAGTTATATATGATAAATATTTGAATAATTTTACTATATAAACTTTATTTTTCTATATATACATCATTAAATTTTATAGTCATATATAATAAATATTTAAATATTTTCATTATATAAAATATATTTTTCTTTATATACATCATTAACTTTTTATTATAATCTACAAATTCAAATATATATAAAAAAATTTATTTACAATTTATATTAGTCATTTAATTTTTTAATAATGAAACACAATTTTTAAATAAAATAATATTTCTTAAATATAATATAAAATAATTTGTATTGTCAACATTTATTAAAATTATGCACATTAGAACCATGCAAGTGTTCAGCCATATACATTATATACATATAAATTATATACAAATATGAATATATTATAAAGATAATATAATTTGAAATAAATATTTATACAAATTAAAATAATATAAATTAATATTTATAATTATTTAAATATTTATAATATAATATAATATATACTTAAATATAATTAATATTTTAACATTTATAATGTACATGTTAAATATTTATTTATATGATTAAAATTTAAAATAAATTATGTATATAAATAATTATTATATTTACATCTAAAAATAATATTTAAATTTTAAATAAATAGATATTTTAAACATATAAATTATCTTTTAGGTTTGCAATAAATAATTTATATTGGACTAGAATTTTTTTATATATTGATAATTTATTTTAAAAATATTAAAATTTAATTTATAAGTAATTATCATCAAATTAGATATTAAATAAAAAGTTATAAAAATCCTGTCTTTGAAAAGATCATTAAAAATATTATTTTACAAAATAGTTGTTTTATATAGATATTATATTTATTTATATAATTGATTATAAATTTTATTTATATTTAATAGATATTTGATATGTGAAATGTAAAATACTAGTTATTATTTAACTAAGAATATTATAGAAAAAAATATTATATTTTTAAAAACAAAAAGATGAATAGATTAAATTCCTTCTATTTCATAAAAAAAATGTCTTCTTAATTTTTGTTTTTTTTTTGAAGCAGTCTTAATTTTTGTGAACAATTAAGAAAAATAATAAAACTTTTAAATTTTTTAATGATATTAAAAATTTGTAACACAATTATAAGTTTTAGATACATTATGAGGAATAACAATTGTAGTTAAAAAATAGTAATTAATATTCAATTAAAAAATTAAAATAAAATTATTTTATTTTATTTTCTAGAATAGCATAATAAAACACTGAAAAATGAGTCAATTATTAATTTTGTCTTAATTTAAATGAGTCACCAAGTGCCACGTAAAAGGACCAATGAAAAGCGACGAATCCGACATCTAAGCTGGGAGAGGAGAGTACGGTATTTATCTAAACGACATCATTGTGAAAGTCGTTCGTCAGATACGCACCACCCCCATTACAAATCTCTGCATTTGAGGGTTGAAATTGAAACTGCTATTTGCGATACCACTAACCCTACACACCATGGCTTCCATCCCCAAATTTTGGGTCTTCGCTCTTGCACTTCTCCTCCTAGCTTCTCCTCTTCTCCAAGGTCTGCTTCCCCAGATCTAGATCCGATCCATCTTTCCTTGCATGTCACTATTATCGAGAGTTGTTAGTTGATTTATGAAAAAGAATACCCTATTAGATTTACTTTAGTGCCAATTGCTCTCTTTTCGGCTCCCCTTTTGAGCCCTGATCTGCTTTTCGATTGTTAAATTTTGAATATTTTTTTGGAGTTCTGATATTCGTTGGGACCATATGTTTTGTTCTGTTATCATTTTTTGTACTGAATTTTTACTTTGATGTTAGAGAGAGTGAAAGATCATTTTTTAATCATGGGCATTTTGTGATCAAGCACTTGCATTTCATTCATTTTTTTTATTGTTTGGAGCGACTGTCGAAAACAAATTCAGTATGTATTTGCTAACACAGGTTTCAAATTGAATTTCGGAGGTAGATTCACTTGTCGGGTGAAAATAATGCTATAATGCTTTGTTTTTCTGGAATCTGGTTCTGTTTGTTGCACTCTAATGTTTTTTGTTTCAAAATCAGCATCCTTTTGGCTGGCTACTCGTGTCTGTTACTCTGTTATTTTGTATTTTCTTTGCCATACTGGATTTCTCAAATAACTTGATAGGCATGTTTTGCTGCATCTTCTGCATGGCCATGATTAGATGTGCTTCTTTCTACTTGTTAGTTGCTAGGTGTCAGTCAGACTCAGACGATGCTGTTGAGACCACTGAAGAATCAAATGATATTGGCATCGTTGGTGATGATGTACAAGACTTTGGTGATGGGAACTTTGCTTCTGCTCCAGGAATTGATACAGTCAGTGTATTCCCAAAAAATAGTGCAAGATGTAAGAATCATTCTTTCTAGTGCACAAAAATATGGTTCATAATGCATTCTTTTGTTTTGTTTCATAGTGGATTGAATTTGTTTGTGCATGTAATATGATGCAGTGATAACAGCTGGAGAAGAGACAGAGCTGCTTGTTGGTGTAAAAAATGATGGTAATTCAATCACATTTGATACTTGGTTGTATTTTAGTTTGCAGTTTGATGCTTTTGACTTTTCAGTATGTTAACTGTTATGTTTGACACTACTCAGTAGTTATGCATGTCATTTGTGTCTTATAACAATTCAACGTATCTTTATTTTCCTTGTTTTTCTTTTACATTTTTTTTTGACTGATGTCCAAAGAGTGCAGAAACAAAAAAAAAAAAATAAAGGTATTCATGCATTAGCAGATTAGCTTATTCCGTTCATTGTGTGGAATGAAAACAGGGGATACAAGCATGAATGTTATTGCAATCAAGGCTAGTGTTCACCTTCCTTTTGATCACCGTATGCTGGTTCAAAATCTTACTGCACAGGTATAAGTCGTTGAATGCCCAAACAAATTAAATGTGGCTAGTTATTTGTGATAAAATATTATACTGCCCATATTACTTTAAAGAATAGGGCATGCTTGATAAGTATTGATGAAGATTCTACAGAATTCTGAACAATTACTGGGAATATGTTAAATATTTATGTTAAAAAGAGAATTTAAAATATTCCTGCAAAAAGGTTTGGCTGGTAAAATGTAAAGTATTTTTTGTTTGGGTGTCCAAGAGTTTGAAGATAACACTTACTAGCCCCCCGCACCCCCAGTTTGAAAGACTATGTTTTAAAATGCTAGAACTGTTTCATATGACAAGGATTGCTATACTTTCCCTCTGTATTGACAATTGCTTTTCCACATATTTGTGAATGAATATCATAGATCTGACATGCCACTAGGTATGCTGGAAGGGGGTATGAGGAGGTGTTTGTGATGTTTTTCATTTCCTTTTAATTCCATCCTTAATCCATGTTCCCCATAAAATGTGAGCCTATGATTTTGTCAAGTTAGATAATGCTTAGCCATCTAAAGTAGATCTGCAAGTCCATTTGGGAACATTGGATTACCTTGAACAAATTAATTTGGGAACTTATGGTTAATAGGGCATTGCATATTTATTTTAAATGCAAGCTTTTGTTTTAATTGCAGGGTTTTAACAATGGTTCTGTACCAGCCTCAGCACAGGCTACTTTCCCATATTTATTTGCAGTCAGTAAGTTCTTGCAGGTATGTCCATTGCTTTAAAGGCCAATGCTTTTAGCTTCTGAGTGTGTAAAGCATCACAAGGGAATATTATACTCATTATGCCTAATGGTTTTTCTGTTATGCAGCCTGGGACCTTTGATCTTGTGGGCAGTATTATATATGAGATAGATGATCAGCCATTCCAAAGCACCTTTTTTAATGGCACTGTTGAAGTCGTTGAATCTGGTGGTTTTCTTAGCATGGAATCTGTTTTTCTTGTTACTCTTGGAGCTGCACTCCTTGTCCTCCTTGGGCTATGGATTCATGGTCAAATACAACACCTATCTAAGGTACTAAAATCTTTGATTTTTCAAACAATGTGCTATCAAGGATTGCCTTGTTAGAGTTTGCTAATGGTACTCTTCATAATATGTCCTGATTACTTGCACTTTGTTCTTGTTTGATTTGCTAACTACAATGTCATAACTCAAAAGAATTATTTGGTACTCCTTCTCTTGTTATTTGATTTCTAGTATTTTAGCTTGTGCGATGCATAGACTTGTTTATTATATATAATTTAATTAAAATTTGTAATAAATTATATCTGAAAATACTATATTTGAATATGTAAATTATATTTAAAATAAGCATACATAAATGTTTTTAAACGTATAAATTATATTTTAGATTCATGATAAATAATTTGTATTGTAAAAAAATATATTTTTATTAATAATAATTATGATAAATAAAAATTAATTAGATAAGAAGTTATAAAAATCCTTACAAACTCTATTATTGAAGAAAAACTCCTAAAAAAGATAGAGGTTCATGTTTAATATATAGGGATTGATTTTTTGCTAACTATGGTCTGTTACGAGTATGTTACTTGTAAAAGAGTTTATTGGTAGTTCCTAACTCCATGGTTCATTCAAAATTCCGGCTAAACTCTATTTCATACTAGCTGGGATTTGGCAGTATATTAGTTTTAGATTTCTACCCTCTATCCATTACCATAATAAACTCTACTACGGAATTTTCATTTGTCAGAGATTGTTAGATGGTCTAGGTCTGAGAGAAATATAAAATAATCTGCAGCTTTGAGTGTGTTTGTTTTACCGTTTGAACACTGTTCAACAGTTTTTTTCCCCCCACTTTCCAAGACAGAAATGTAGAAGCAAGGAGGATGGATTGGTGTTCAGTTGGATGAAATGTAAAAACAAACACACACTTTGTAGTAGAAGTCATGTTTGCACGGTTTTAAGCTATAACTGGTAGGGTAATGTACAACAAAAATTGTATATCACTTTTGTGCTTATCTCTCTCTATTATTAATAATATTTCTCTCCATAATAAATGAAGTCATGGATAGAGATAGGTACAAAAATGTTGTATGAGTTATTGTACAATTTTTGTTGAACGTGTAGCATCACTCTAACTGATATGATTGGTGTAATCTTGGTTTGGGTTCTTAGTTAACTGAAGCGAGAGTCCATTTACTCTTGTAGCATACAAGAGTTTCTCTCTTGTTTTTTAGGGAAGGTCTTAGTTATCAGATCTTACACATACAATATTAAGATTGGTGGCTTATTAGAATTTTAATTTAAAGAAATTCTCAAGCTTTTCTTTTTATTTCCTACCCAAGCCACTTATTTGCATCATTTTTCTGATAATCTCATTCTTGCACATGAATATTTGGTCAGAAAACAAAGAGGGCTCCAAAGGTTGAAGTTGGAACTAGGACTACAGATGCTTCAACAGATGAATGGCTAGAGGTCTGTTCTTATGCTTTATACTATACTTATTGAAATGTCATATTTAATGCTTAAACTTGTAATGTAACATTATTGGGCTTATGAATTTTTTTCTCTTCCCTTTATTTTGACACCAGGGAACTGCATATACCCAGTCTCTGTCGAGCAAGTCAAAGAAGAAGAAGTAGATAAGCAATTCTCACGTTCAGCCACACATGGAATACAGAATCCTGTAACAGACTAGCATCGAGTTTGAGAGAGCACGAGGAAATAGTTGTGAAATTTTGGCTGAAAGATCTAGCTTTCTGTTGTAGCTTAAGAAAGTTTACATTTTCCCTTTCGAATGAAGTTGAGCTTTTTCTAAACTAACAGGGATTTGAGTTAGGAAGGATACGACATTTGAGATGTGGCAAAAATTTTATTAGATAATGTTCATTTTACCTATATTTTGTGTTTATTTTGGGCGACTTTGGAATTTTGATTTCTAATCAATGAACTTTAATGGTTTTATATTTATCAAAAAGGAACTGGTTAATGGAATGGAAGTTTTTGAAATGGGATTAATTGAAAGTGGATTTGTGGGGGTCGTCAGATATATATCTTGACCTAGTGGAATAAGATTATTATTGTTGTTACAAAGATGTTAATGTTGAGCTAGTATTATATGGTGTCTGGAAGTTAGATCTTAAGACACTCTTTGGAACCCCATAGGACACAGGAAGAAAGAAAATTGGAGGGAGAAATCCTTACAAACTGGCATGTTGACTTTTATTCAAGAGGAATAAAACTAACTTTTTGGATGATGAGAAAACTTTGGAAAAACTGGAGGTGAAATGTTTGTTGGTTTTGAAGGAAATGCAATAAAATGTGGGTGAAACAAGATTAGGGATTTGAACGCAGTTTATGGTGTTTGATTATTGAGAATGCAGCTAATAGGAAGCATCCTTCGAGGTTTTGTGTGGTTTTTATTCCTTATGTAGAATGCTTCTAGTCTAGCATGGTTAAACTTGACCAGAATTTCATGGAATAACCAGTTGAGAGATTTTTTTTTATTAGTTTAATTAAATAATCGATTTTATCCCAGTTGAAGAAACGTAAATGCACTTCACTAATTGGTTTTTCTTTTGTTGGTATTGAAATGATGGCAGGTTCGTGCTAGAGCTTAATACTTTATTTTTTATTTATAGAAATTAAATGATCATAACAGGCATCCTATTTTAATTTTTTTACCATTATTTCAAAATTATTACAAATCATCCGAGTGATGAATACTTTGTTTAAAATGTTTTTATTTAATTTCATCTTATTTCATTTAATTAATTGAGATGATTTTGATGTAATTGTTTACACAGTTATTAAATGAGGGATATGACTGGAAATTTTCTTTTCAGACCTTAAATTTCTTAAGAACTTTTTTTTTTTAAGTCTAAAAAGTATAATTTGAGAGGAGATAAAATTTATTATTTCCTTTTTTCCACTTGAATCAAATAATGTCATGTAAAGCATTTTTTTCTTCTTCTCTTCTGTATTTTATTTTTTTTATTTTTTTTCTTTCATTTCATTACTTTTTCTTTATTTCTAAATAGACTGAAAAAAATCCGAATATCACTCATTCATTATTATATCTTGATAAATGATGAAAATAATTAAGACAATTTTAAGGAAGAATAAAAAAATGTAATTAATGAAAACAAAACTTTTCCAAGTTCTTAATTTATTTAATGTTGTACTTTTATTTAGCTTATTTATTTATTTCTTAACAAGTATTCTTTAAGATTTTTAGCAAAATTCTTTTTTTTTTCCTGTGAAAAAATATTTTTTTAGCAAAACTATTATTTTCATATTTCTTCCAAAATGTTTGTTACATTTAAATGTTTTTTATTTTAAATTATTTTGTTGTTTTAATTTTTTTTTTGACACCTGTTGTTTAAAAAGTTAAAACAACAAATATACGACAAACACCAGTATTTTTCTTGATAATTTTGAAGAGTTGTAACTTTCTTTTTTTAAAAATTTATTTACTTCAAAATGTAAATAATATTTATCATTTTTTATAATTTATTAAATAAAGTATATTTATCTCTAAAATGTATTATTTGCATCAATGATGTAAAGTAGGCTATTTTTTAGATTTAAATATATTTTTAATTTTCTATAAAATAAATGAATATTATTTTTGGTTATTATTTTTTATTTTTTTTATTTTTATTACTATAAAATTAAAAATTATTGTTTTTAGTCTTTATTATTATTATTATTATTATTATTATTATTATTGATTATTTGCTTATATGTTGAATGAAGTTATGGAATGTTAAATGATCATCTTTAATTGGAAACACTGGTTAATATTTATATCCTATATTAACATGCCATACTTCTATTTTTTTTTTTAATATTTTATATACATGTTATTTATTTATCATAAAATATTGTCGAGGGATTAAAATTAGTGATTTCTAATTTTAGAAGATGAAAATCAAATAAAAATATTTTACAATGATGAAAATCAAAATTTAATTATTTTACATAAATAAAAAACAATGTTTATAAATTTTAGAAGAATG